AAATTAGCATTATCTATTTCATTTTTTCTTCTATCTATTTTTCCTCTTTTTTTTTTTTTTGGCTAATTTTAATTTAGAAATTTCTAAAGAAAAAATAAATTCTAAATTTTAATTTTTTTCCATTGCAATAAAATTCCTTCAATTATAAAAAAATTATGCAATTTTTGTTAAATCACTTTTTAAGGAAATATCACGTTTTGTTTAATCCAAGCTAAACTTGCAGCTAAACTTTGATACTGTGATGCTGGTACCAAAATTAGATTTGCCCAACATCCTCGCATTTCATTTATTATACGAAAACATGCATGATGAACATTTAAATGATTCGATGTTTGTGATAATTCAGAAAAGCCATTTTCTAAAAAAAAAAAAAAAAATTCAATTGTATTTTATCATTTCCTCAATTTAAACATACGTATGTATGATTTGAAAAAGAAAAAAATTTAACAATTGAATGATTTAAACTAGCATTATTTTTTGAATTACTTCTTTGAAATTTTACTAAAAATTTTCAATAAATTTTAGGAGATATTTTTTTTTTAGAGTTTTGGGTTTAGAATTTTTTTTTAGAATATATTTCATTAATTTATATAAAACTTTTTTAAATTTAAACCCAAAAAATATATACCTGAAATTTGTGAAAATTGATAAAATTGATGATTGGCAGGATAGTCATGACGTATTAAAATACGTTCACTATCAACAATTCCCTCATTAAGACTCATCACATAAGCGCAAATTTCAGCTGGTGGACAAATTAATTCTTTATTGTTATTATTTGATTCAAAAATGCAATAAGGTCGAACTGTTAATAGTCCAAATCTTTTCTTTGTAAGCGCTTCTGTCTACAACGAACATTTTAACTTTCACTATATTTGTAATTAATTTTAACCAATAAATCATACTGTCCAAGGGAAAATCTCTTCGTACTTATGCAAATTTTGTTTTTTTTTAAGGCAAGAGTAATTTGTGCACAACGAAACACCAATATTCTGTACCATACAACTTAACGGATAATTGAGACAACGACAAATGTAATATCCCTCACATACTGTGCAATACAATACAATACAGTACACCATGATAATATTCTCTTTTACTGTATCGTATCATACTTGTTATCCTGTTAACTAATTTTGTGTTATTTGATCAAAAGTATTTCATTGAGTATTTGTGATTCCCAAACTTATGCTATCAATGATTTGTGCTTTACTTAATGCAACATAATAAAGGATAGTTTGGCAAGATGCAGCAGCACGTCGTAATGCAATAGTATGCTACTTGATATAATACAGTATAGAAGGATAAGGTGGAAAAATTTGTGTTGTGCACAAGAATTCAGGACAATATAACAAATCTTTCGCACCATATTTTCCTTTTCTCGCCAAATTAATTTCTGATAAATGCTTTGACGGAGTGATTTACGTTTTGATTCCGTTAATCTGTAGGAAAATGCTTTTGGTTGTAATGACAATTCCAGTTTGGATATCGGTCGCGCCTTTGACTTATTTACAATTGAAATTGATTGCATTTGATAAACTTGTTGCTCATACTAAATTAGCATTTTATTGAATAGAATACTATTCGATTAGAAGTAAATTTGATAAAAATTATTTCTTTAATTCCTTAATTGCAAAAAAAATTTGATTCAAAATTTCAAATTTACAAATTAGTAGATTCAAAGCATTTTAAATTTAATGAATTCAGCAGAAAATATTTTAAACTTAAATTACAACCATTCTGACAAATTCATGATATATATTAGAGAGAGAGAGGAAGATATCTTTAATCAGTGTAAACATATTGTAAACATTTGGATGACAAAAAGATTCTAGAACTTCCCGTCCTAATCAGTACAATTTATTTTTCCTTTTTTTTTTCGATAAACTTACGCTCTTATTTTTGCCAGTATGTTTTTGTATACTATTATAATTTGATAGAGAATAGAAATCTATTTTATTCATTAGCTAATTTGACCATTTATTGGTATTTGCAAAATGATAATGATAGTTTTTAGAAGTTGTTGAACATGTAGGAATGATATCAAATGGAAGCGAGAAGGATATCAGCCAACATTTAAAGATGTAAAAAATGTTATCCATGATTATTGATATAGGCATTCATAGCTAATGATTTTATTTTCCTTTTTTTTCAATAAACTTACGCTCTTATCATTCCATAGCTTATCAAAAGATAAGTAGAATGATAGAAGATAAATGAATCCATAGCTTACCAAAAGATAAGTAGAATGATAGAAGATAAATGAATCCATAGCTTATCAAAAGATAAGTAGAATGATAGAAGATAAATGAATCCATAGCTTATCAAAAGATAAGTAGAATGATAGAAGATAAATGAATCCATAATTTAGCAATATTTCAAAAGATGGAAATTAAACAAAACTAATTTTGAAAATAAATACGCAAAAGTACGAATTCTTCATCTCCTAGAGCTGCAAATAGTTTACAGTTGTATTTGCATCAGAAAAGTCTAGAAGCTATTAGTTTGAAAAATCATCTTAACTTATCATTAGCTGATAGGTAAGATAAATTTTATGATATTTCCTGTGGTACTCTGATAAGTATCATGTTACGTAAAGATTAGCTAACAAAATCATATAGTTTCATTATTGGAAAATTATATGAACTTAATGAATCATATAAGATAATTTTATGCATGATTCATTAAATTCAATAATTTATCCTAAATTAGTTTTGTTTTAATACGATATAAATTGTTATTTGATTCCATTAAGGAAAATACACACCTCATCACGACGTCGACGACTTTCGTTACGCCATTTCTGACGTTCATCTTCGCTCATCATCTTCCAGTCACGTGTAGCACGTTCGACTAATTTTTTAGCCGTCAAATGTATACCTTTATTTTCTGACTCATAAAAAGCTCGTCGAGCATCAGCAAAATACATGAAACCATTGGAAGAACGCTTTTTTGTCATTTAGCTTGACTTTGTACTTCCCTGAAATTATCGTTTAATTCAGGAGTATTTTACCTTCGCTTTTTCGTCTTCAAAAGACGTGAATCAGAAATTTTACGTCCGTTTTTGAATACAGTATTAAATGCTGATTGTAATACTACAGAACTGAGTACAGTACTATTCCGTTTTTCTAGTTCATTAACTTTTGCACTCCTTTTGTTCCACTTTTAATTCAAATGTTTTACTTTTTACAGGAGTATCATATTCATGATGAGAAAGAAAAAGTGACAAAAGATTGTCACCTTTGCCTTTTTCTCTCACATAAAGTTAAAGCTAAGATAAATGAGCATTCTAGAATTGAAGATGTTAAGCCATGAATCCTTCATCTCATTGTAAAATTGCTATCCCTAGGTAAGTGACACTGATGACACTGAGTGACACACAGTGACTAGTCAATATTTGCTATATGTTGGATGATACCATTTTTAAAATTAGAGATAAGTAAGTTTTGGCTTAGTACACTCAGTTCTGTTTTGAGTATTTAAGAGTTGATATAAAAGTCTTTCAGATTATTTCAAATTCATTAAATCCCAAAATATAATATCCATTTTATATATTCCCAATCCTAAAGCTAGGCTTCTTAGCCAAGTTCACTTCTTAGCCAAGTTTACCTTACAGTATCGAAGAAGAAAAAAGAAAACAACCTATAAGGAAGGTAACAATAAGATGTAATGAATGAATGCTACTCTTTCATGTATTTTTATTCCATACTTTATTGGCGCATTTGTACAGCTCTCTCTAGCGCTCTTTAAATCGTATCATTCTTCAAACATTCCTACATCTTTTATCCACCAACAGTCATCAACATGTCAACACTTTTCACGTACGTGTTCATTTGCATATATTTACATATAAACATTTGCTACTGTGTCAGTGTAAATTTGCATTACTATCTGCGCATGCATTGCATCCATCCGTGTACGTATGGTGTATATGTTTATATGCACATACGTACGTGTACGTGTGTACACTTCACGTTCCCATTAAACTCTCTCAATCTCTCTAATTATTGCAATGAAACGAAGCCATGAAAAAAATTAAAGGCTACAAGTGGGCGGGGCATAACGTGGCGGAGTGACGAGTTACGTGACAATTGACAAGTGACAAGTCATTTTTGCTTGCTTCATTTACGTGCGCTTGGGGAGATCTACGTGCGTTTCAGGGGGTTTCATCTCCCATTTGTGTTTTTGGGTCAGTTAATTGGGCAGGTCTACGTGCATTTCGAAAAGTTTATGTGCATTTTCGAAGGATCTAACATTTCGTGATGTCCGATTTCTGTTTACAAGGGGCTTTGCATAAGTACGTGCTAAATACGTGTTGTTTGAAGTAAGTTTATGATGAGTAAAGTAGTGGACATTCGGATATATGAGCATTGGAATAAGGTTCGGTTATATTCATGTTTGTTATCGGAATAAAATTAGCAATGAATTTTCTTGTCGTATGGAGTAAATCGTTGGATGGAAGGAGGGAACAGGGAAATAAGACTGAGGAGAATTAGAAGAATTAGATATGATGAAGGAGTTGCGATTGATACAGGTAGCTATTGTACAATGGGAAATCGCTTTTAAGAGGTAGCCAATCAATAACCTGTGTTGTAGACTGTACCTTCAAAAATTCCACTGTACCTTCAAAAATTTTCCGTTTTCAGAATCAGTTTTTAGGGAAAATGGAGGAAAGTGGCAATGGAGAAATTCCGGCTAGCACAACGTCCGATAACACAGCTGGCGCTGTTGGATGGTACAGTCGATTTCAGGGAATGATTGCGGATGAGTTGCCGTTAGTTTTTTTCTTTTGTGTGTTGTTAACCTTTGATATGGATTTTCTCTTTTTTTTTTTTCAAAAATCGAATGTTAGGCCATAAACATTATGGAGTGAACGTTTGCTTGATGTAATAATAACACGTTCAAATATATGACAACGTGCAGCGTGATTTAAGCTTCATCACACTGACAATTTTGGAGTAAAAATTTAGAAATTTACTATAATTTATAGTAAGGAGACAATTTATCGCTGATTCATTCGGTGAAAACATATTTTTTTGGAAGTTATGCGATTATACATCAGGTACGTTTCCATTTAAGCATGACATCGTGATAGAACGTAAAATCATCCTGTTCTACTCGACTGATTAATTTATTTCAGTGCGATGACTTGATGCTTTTTTTCAGTCCAGAATATATGAAATTCCTTGTGTTGGATTATCTGATCTCCCAGGGATACAGGGAGGCAGCAGAATATTTGTGCGAAGATGCTTCTATACCGTTCCCGAGAGATGCAATTGAAAATTTGGATCAGCGAATGCGAATTCGTGATGATATTGTAGAAGGGAAGGTTTGTATTGCTAACAATTCTAATATTATTGCAGGATTATCAGCTTCCAGTTTTTCACTTATTTAACTTTGAGCACTATTATTTGGAAACTTTGGGTTAAAAAGCACGGGTCTTAGATATCCTGAATACAAAGAATTAGTCATATGAATCATGAGCATATACATAATAATAGATTAGCATCTTACGGAATTTCAGGGCGGGACGAGAGAGGTTAAAAAATGTGGAGTTTTGCAACCTTTGATGACGACTCATCTCTTGGAGTTTTAATTTGAATGTTTAGATACAAAATGCAATTGAAAAAGTTGTGAATGTTGTGCCCGATTTGTTGGAACGCAATCCAGTTCTTCATCTTCGTTTACTTCAACAACATCTCATTGAACTTATTCGCAACAAAATGGTAAGTTCAAGTTATTTGTTTCCACTGGTTTTGTTTTTCTAAATCTTTAGTTTTTGTTAAATGTCGTGGCAATGGATAAAAAAACAAATATCACAGTTTGCTGAATTGTAAATCGAAGCCTGCCATTATTCAGCAAAATAGCGGTTTATACAGTAATTCAAGTTTTCGAGAATCCACACTACTGATAGTTATTTTTTGGTACTACCTTGAATGATAATGCCGAAAACTGATAACATGTCTATAGTTATGTTTTATCTCGTTTTGGAATTTGATAACATTTACTTTGAATTGGCATTAATTTTATTCACTCATCAATTTTACTGGTGTTGAAAAATTGAAGTTAATGGGTAAGGCATATCGTTTATTCATAGTAGCTAATACGTTAATCAAACGATGAGCAACTGAAATAGGAGGAGAATTAAGCAGGTTGTTTTAAAAATTGGCCTTAGCCTTGACACTGGGCATGTTGAACAGATGAGTAATTAATGAAGTATCTTATGGAAGAAGGAGAATAATGGATTCATTTTGCGTTTTCTGACAGTGCAGGATTTTCAGGTAGAAGAAGCCGTTGCTTTTACGCAGTCTATTGTTGAAAAAGTGGATGCACATCCTGAAATGGAAAAAGAAATGCAAAAAGCTTTTGCAATGATTGCTTTTGAAAAACCTGAGGATTCGCCATACACATATCTATTAGAAATGAGTCATCGTCAGATGGTTTATCATTCTTATCATTCGTATCACAATGATCATTGTTTTTAAAATATGATAAAACTAATAGAGGTTTCAGACAATATCTGTATGAGAGTGAAGTAGGTTTCATTTTTCTAAAATGATATCCTTCTAGTCATTTATTTTCTCTTTTTTCATAAGCATTTTTTTCGCAATAGCTCACCAACATGAAGGAAACTTGTTAAAAACGTATTAGACTTGCCTCATTGCGATTTTATTTCATGGTTTTAGTAGTCCTTTCATTTCTTTCATTTTTGCATCTTTCCTTACTAAGACATCTACATCATGAATTTGAAACTGAAATTATGTCACTACTATTTTTTCTTTAACCTGAAAAAGAAATAATCAGTGAACTGATTCCAAGTATATATTCCAAGTAGCTTCATCAGTTGGTTGATCGATTGATTGATTTTGAAATTGTTTTGACCTTTCGAATTCCTTATTTTGCTATTCATAGGTTGCCAACGATGTAAATAGCGCCATTCTTGAAGCTCTAAATAAACCGTCTGCACCGAAGTTAGAGAATCTTTTCCGATTGATCTTGTGGTCCAAAAACGTGTTGAAACATAGCGATACACCGGAAACTTTAGAGCGCCTTTTCAATGGACAAGTAAATAATATTTGAGTATTTCTGGTACTTTAAAATTAATGTAAATCTCTAGAATTTCCTTTCTTTGAAAGTAGTATAAGATCGAAGATATCGCGAACTGCATACAAACTAACAGTGAAATGTATTGTTGTCATGTAAACTGGCAGTGGTTCTTCCCAGTTAATTGATAGTTACTTTACAGATTAGGATTCTTTATAAAATATGCAATGTTGCTATGGATTTCAAAAATATGAATTTTTTGTTATTTATCTTGATTTGTCCTTTTCAGTGACGTTTTGGTGCAAGAACACGATTGGCTTCGAATGTCCATTCCTGTACTATACTGTTCAAACTGCTTGTGAGTACCTCAAATCTTCACACAACTTGTCTTTCCGAAGCAGGCAGGCATTCTTAATGTTACCATTCGGAAGTTCTAAATTATCTTTATAGTGAAATTTTTATGTATGAATATATTTGTATACTTTGCATTGTATCCAATATACCAGTGATTTCTCAAATTTGAAACTTTATTTAGGGGTTTTTTTGACAATTGTAAGAAGTTTGCTACAATTTGATTTTGTTGCTTACATTATGTTGTAAGTTTTGCATGGTCAATAAAATTTTTATTGAGCGTTTGCAATCATTTTTGGCTTTCTAGGGGTCTTAAATATCTGGTCATTGGTTTCCTCGTTACGAAATTGGCATGACGCACATATCTCTTATTGATTTATATCATTTATGGGATGTAACGGTAGATGTCACATACCAAGATGCGAGGCTTCCATGGATTTTTTTTTCCTCATATTGTAAACCGTTTCATATTTCTGGGTGGTATACCACATTTAATGAACGTGATCTTTTAGGTTGACTTAGAAATTGGTTCGTATAAGTGGACCGGAAATGTCCATGTTGATCCGTTAAATGGATGCCTTATAAAATATCAGAATTAATTATGCATAATTTTATCGTACAGTGTCGTCAATCTTATGATAATTGAAAGATTCTCTAAGGGTGTTATTTTGCTGGATCTATACTGCTTGTCTGTCATTTTTAACGCATTTTGCATTTAATTGAGAAGATGCTTCATTGGTAATTAGTCATTTCCTCTTTTTCTCTGGATACATCTTAAGCTTAGTTAATAGAACATCTGCTACCATGTCACATTAAAGTAATCATCTCATTCTTCCCCTCTTCAAATTTCATTTTTGAAGCAAATACACACAACAAAAAAAAAAAGAAAAAGAAACCCTTTCTAACATCATCTCTTATATATATATAGGTGTACATTCTATATATGTAGAGAAGAGAGAGAGAGAGAGAGAGGAGGGAGGGGAGGAGAGAGAGAGAGAGAGGAGGAGGAGGA